ATTTTATTTATTTATTTGACAGAGAGAGACAGCAAGAGAGGGAACACAAGCAGGGGGAGAGGGAGAAGCAGACTCCCTGCAGAGCAAGGAGCCCGATGCGGGGCTTGATCCCAGGACCCTGGGATCACAACCTGAGCCGAAAGCAGACGCCTAACCGACTGAGCCACCCAGGCACCCCTATCCATTTGGTTTTTTAAATCTCATTTCTCTGTTGAAATTCTGCATCTTCCATTCCTTTTTTTCATTTTTCATCAATTTTCTTTAATATGTATATAGTAGTTATTTTAAAATCCTTGTTTGTTAATTTTCACATCTGGATCATTTAAGGACCTGCTCTTTAAAATGTTTTTTTCCTTTTTATCATGGGTCACATTTTCCTGTTATTTTGGATATCCTACAATTTTTATTTGTTTGACAGTGTCTATAAAAGCCTCATTAAAATTGAACTGATATTATTTTCTCCAAAAAAAGGTGTATCTTTCTTCTTTCAGGGTGCTAAGGTAAGGGGCTAATCACTTTCAGCCAAAGAAAAGTTGAACAAAGCAAAAATCAACAAGTGGAACTTCATCAAACTTAAAAGCTTCTGCACAGCAAAAGAAATAACAACATGAAAAGGCAACCTGCAGAACAGGAGAAAATTTTTGCAAACCATATATATGATAAGGGGTTAATATCCAAAATATTTAAAGAACTCATGCAACTGTATACCAACAATAACAAAAAAGAATCTAACTAAAAAATGGGCAGAGGAGCTAAACGGACATTTTTTTCCAAAGAAGACATCCAAATGTCCAACAGGCACATGGGAAAATGCTCAGCATCACTAATCGTCAGGGAAATACAAAGCAAAACCACAATGAAGTGTCATCTCACATCTGTTAGAATGGCTATCATCAAGAAGACAAGAGATAGCAAGTGTTGGTGAGGATGTGGAGAAAAGGGAACCCTTGTATACTGTTGGTGGGAACATAAATTGGCTCAGCCACTATAGAAAGCAATATAGAGGTTCCTCAAAAAGTTAAAAATAGATCTAACATATGATCCAGCAATTCCACTTCTGGGTTATACCCAAAGGAAATGAAAACAGGATATCAAAGCAATAAATTCACTCCCATGTTTATTGCAGCATTATTCACAGTAGCCAAGATTTGGAAACAATGTAAGTGCCTGTCAATGGATGAATGGATAAAGATGTTATGGTATATATGTACAATGGAGTATTTTCAGCCGTGAGGAAGAAGGAAGTCCTGTCATTGTGACAACATTGATGGACCTTGAGAACATTATGCTAATTGAGATAAGTCAGACAGAAAAAGACAAATACTATAGGATTTCACTTTTATGTGGAATCCAAAAAAGCCAAACTCAAAAATAGTGAAATGGTGGTTACCAGGGTTCAGGCATGGGGGGATAGGAGAGAGATTGTTTAAGGATACAATCTTGCAACTAGTAGTAAATAAGTCCTAGAGATAAAATGAACAGTATAGTGTATATAGACAACATTGCATTCTAATCACCAGACTTGCTAAGAGAACAGATATTTATTATTCCAATCTCAGAAATGATAATTATGCGATGTGATGGAGAAGCTAACTATTACTACACTGACAATCATATTAAATACATAAATGTGTCTTTGCACAATGTTATATGTCAAATTTATTTCTAGTAAAAAAAAAAAAAAAGAAAGAAAAGTTGAACTTGGTCCAGTCTGGGCTGTGGTAGTTTTAGTGTACTGTCTTGTTTCAAGGGTCCGAAGGATGAACTTTATTCAGTGTTTATTACAGACCTCATTTTCTATTGGTATTAAGACTACAGAGGAGTATTACTGGCTTTCACATGCCTCTGTCTTACCACTCCTCTACAAGCTCACTAAAATTGCTGTCAAAGAGACCCAGCAGGTGAAGAGAACAAGCTCTGTGGGGCGATTCTAGATGTTACACTAGCCCACATGACCATTGAAAACTCTATTAGATTCTCTTTATCCCAGCCTATTATAGACGTGGTCTCTGCCCATCTGTGTGCAGACTTGACAAATGATTCCAAAGTAGAAAATGGCTACTCATATCTGCTTACCTGAACTTTTCCCCCTCTGGTATTTAGTTTATTTTACACTATTTATCCACAGTTTTCTGATGTCTTAAAAAAATATGATTGTTTAGTTTATCTTTTTCTAGTTGCTATAATGAAAGTATTATCTATTATGATCTTCTTTCTCCTAAGCAGAAACAGAACTCTTTGAGTTTCTTTTTAACTATCTTGTGTTGCTGTCACAGGAATTCATTGTTGGATTATTATTTAATCAAAACATTATAGCAAAAGTATTTTGGTATTTTAATAGCTAAGCTTTGTTGGACTGGGATGGAGAGTAACTTATTTTACAAATTTCCATTGCACAGTAAGATTTCTAGTTTCTTCAAAAATCTTTTTATAAGAGACACTGAAATATGTCATAAATATATAAATGGAGATGCGATATTTTTATAGGTTGAATAAATAACTCAAGGAAGCCATTGATTATACCTCTTTCAGTGTAGCTATTATACTCTATTTACTCTGGTTTGCTCAAAATCTATTTCAGTATATGTTTTTATAACTTTCCCCTTGACATCACAGTGACTCTAGAAGAGCAAGTATTATGCCCAAAGAATGAAAATCTTTCATAAAGTTCTAAAGATACTCTTGCACAATAGTTAAAATTTTGAAAGAGTTACTTTAAATTGTGCCCATTTACCAAATACTAACATTAGATCATTCTAAATGAAACTATTAGGCCAATCATCAATTTTCTTCTGAAGTCATATTATTTTGCACTAATTAATATAGAAATGATTGATGAAACCGTGCTCTGGAAAACTAGAGTGAACTTTTGGAAATTTTAAAATGTTCAATAGGCTAATTTATTGAAGTATTATACTCTAAGATTTTAATAGCGTACTAGAACATAAGGATACATTTGTTTATGATATTAATGCATAATAGATTTCAGCTATGTATTGTTTAAATTGCCAGATTTTAGTGAAGGTTTCTTCAAGAGATTTTTCCATAACTCTTTATTTCTCATTTGATCTGAGCAATCTTCATTAAATAGTTCCAGGACTCCTTATTGCACACTATTTTATGGAGATTAATGATCTTGGAAAAATTCTAGAGTCCATTAGTGATCACAGTTTTAATATTTTTTTTAAGGAAGAAGATATTTTGGATCTTCTGGAACAATGTGAAATTGATGATGAAAAATTGATGGGCAAAACTGCCAAGCCTCGAGGACCAAAGGTGCTGTTCCTATACATTCTTTACTATCAAAGTAGATGCTACTAAGTACAGTTGATTTTACCTTTATAGTTCTTACTGTAAGAATGACTGAGGCCACTTTCAAGGAACTGTATGGACTATGTGTCCAGTGTAGATAGAGTTAGGGAGATATACTCAGGAGAAGTTTTGTTTTGTTAGTTTCTCTCATTTTTAATTTTTTTTTAAGATTTTATTTATTTATTTGACAGAGAGAGAGAGGGCTAGCACAAGTAGGCAGAGTGGCAGGCAGAGGGAGAGGGAAAAGCAGGCTCCCTGCTGAGCAGAGGCAGAGAGCCCAATCTGGGGCTCAATCTCAGGACCCTGGGATCATGACTTGAACCAAAGGCAGATGCTTAATGACTGAGCCCACCCAGGTGCTCCAAGTTTTCCTCATTTTTTAATTCTTTCCCTAATGCTAGTGAAAACCCTATGAGTTAGGACCAAGAGGGACTTAAAACTAGTACCCTTATTCTATACTCAGTATTACATTTTTCTCATATCTCTAGACATACAATTATCAGAGATGTGTAGCATTATAGGTTAGGCAAATCATGACTCTGGAAATCCTCATGGGGGGGCCCCACTTATTGTTGACTCAGTAACATTGAATTGTGTTAGTTAAAATAGGTATGGTTTCTAGGAATAAACAGAAAGCTCTCATGCAAGCAAAAATGGGCAGGTGTTTGCTTTACCTTTATCCTCTCTTTAGTGATGATCTACATGTTCCTTTTTTTATATGTTAAAGGCCTTGCTAGTAGAGTAGGAAAATGGTGAATTTGCAAAATCTTGGAAAGTTTTTTATTCAGTTGTCATCGTTGTTGTTGTTGTTGTTTTAGTTTACATTTCAGCAATACAAAGCTATCGCTATGTCCTTATACACATCATCATGCTCTGTCATGCTTTCATGCCTTTTCCGTGCCTCTGGAATGCCTTCCTATTTTAAAAAAATTATCCATTCATTGCTTGATTACAGATCCCCTTCTAATCCAGCTGAACCATTGCTGCCTTTGTGAAATCTTCCCTCACTCCCCTAGTTAGACTTAGCTCTTCCTTCTTCTGCTTCTTCTACTGTGCTACAAATAACACTTTAAGAGCATTCGTGACAATTGTGTGCATGTTTGCTTTAGAATGAACTTGTAAGAACTTTGAGGGTAGGAAGCATATTGTCATCTCTAGCAGCTTGCACAGTGTTTAGTACTTAGAAGGTTATCAAAAGCCACTAGTTAAATTTGTTGAATGTGTCCACAAGGACCTCATTGGCTAGTGGAAGAACAGATAGGTGAACCAAAGTCCAGCGTATATTGTGGCAAGTGCTGTAATAAAGGGAGTGGAAAGTGCTACAACAACATAGAGAAAAAAGGGATTGGTAGACTGTGGATGGCCTCATTGGAGGAAGTGACATTGGAATTGGGTCTTAAAAAATGAGTAGTGCTCTAAACATTTAGGAGCAGGGGAAGGATATTCAGGGTAGAGGGAATACTTAAGGCAAGGACATGGAGGTGTGACATTGCATAGAGTATTGGAGAAACAAGAAAGAATTTGGTATCACTTATATGGAAGGTTCCTGGGAGTAAAATAGTGCAAGATGAACCTGGCAAAAGATATGTATCTGGTGGAGATCAGAGACCTTGGATGTCAGGCTCCGTTCTTCTGAAATATGTGCTTTATACTGAAGAATTCTGGACAGTGCAGTTAATAATGCCTCTAATATATTTTAGAGTATCTGTAAAAGTGAATAGGTTCTAAGCTTTGTGTATTAATTATTGCAATTCAGCAAACCAGTTGTGAGACAACTTAGGGGCACAATATTTATGGCAGAATGGCAAATGCAAAGGCCCTGGAACAGCCGTCTATCATACTTTTCTTTGCTTCGTTAAGTAAGGCTTATCATCCAAATAAAAATATAAGCTCCTGGAAGGCAGAATTTACATTGTATATTTTTTTCAACCCCTCTTATTCTAGGCAAGAGTAGAAACTATCTGTATTTATTGAAATGAAATGAATTGACTAGTTTCTGTAGGTATTAATGCTGGTAATATTTCAAAATTGTTGAAAGCTGCATAATCAGTCTGAAGTAAAAGCATTTTGATAACTTTTAACTTTATGTACACTGAGGATCTGGGGTGAGCCAAACTTCCAAGCAGCCTTTCATTTTTAGAGGGATGATATCACATGGTAAACATTAATTTCCGGTGTGTTTATGGTAGAAGAATAATGGAAGATAGTGAAGACTAAATGAAACTTGTACTAGGAGAAATAATAATTTTTCACTTATTTGAGAAACTAAGAAATATTAATTACCTGTATAAATAATAAATACCACATAAAGTATCACCTATTAGCATTGTTCTTTTTTTTCAGCTGGGTGGTAGGGACGTACTAATCTTTATGCTATTTACATACTTTTTATGTATGGCCCAGTTCATAATAAAATTGGACATAATAATTAGTAGTATGGTTTGTGTCCTAACTCAATGCCAATTTACAAATTCCATTTTGTAGTTAAGGTACTGTTCGAAGTTCACACTGCTATCACTTCTTATTAATTATTGCTTGAACAGTGTGTTGGCCCAAAAGTCCCAAATGCATATATGACACAAAGGTTCAGCTATCCGTTTCCCTTAGTGATTCTTTATAGGCTCAACTAACTCATTATGTAGTCAAGTTCTTTAAGAACCCCTAAAGCTGTTTGCCTCCGTGTAAGAGGACAGTACTAGCAAGCCTGGTTGTGCCACTGTTTCTTTGGGGTCTGCGAGACTTCTGAAGAAACATGCCTCGTCTAGAATTCATATTCCCCAAGACTGTCAAACTCTTCCATGATTGTGTACTAGTCAGTGTTTTTATGCATATCTCTTTGAACATTGTTAGTGCTCAGTAAATATTAGACTATCAAAAGGAAAACATACTTTCAAATACAAGTTGGTACCATAGTGCATTAAATTACTTTTCCTGCTTTCTTTGGTTATTTTTCACCCTTTGCAAAGGCGGTAACTTTAAGAGGATCATGCTTTGGCTTACTGTGTCTTCCAGACACTTCATGAAATGCTATTTCTCTCTTTATCTTTCATCCTACACCGATACACGAGAAGATATACCTTATTTCAGTGAAATCCCATGGTAACCAAGGGCTTCATGATGGTGTATGCTAGCATCGGAGCATTTTTGTTTAACAGAGAACAAGAATCTAGTGTATAGTGACAGGAACCTTTCCCAGCAGGAGTAAGAGGCATATGGTTTGTATAATAAATAGTCTCTTAAAATGACTAAGTCATAAAAATGTCTTGTTCTTGGTTGTGCACATTCTTTCCGAAGTGAAGCTGGCCTACTTCCCTTATCTTTTATTCCCTGGGCTGGCATCCTTGGAAACACATTGATTGGGAGGTTTGGAGACAAGTAATTCTAATGGAAATATTGGAACATAACAGCAGGGCATTTTGTATCATTACAGATTTACCCTTCTACATGGCACCTAGCCTCCAAAAATTCTTGCCATGCTGATTTTTACATGATACCACTTATTTTATGTAGCATGGGCAATGAAGAGCAATGTTCCTCCATTATGGCCAGACCTATAAGTCAGATTTAGAAATCCTACGAGAAGAGGCATGAGCTGTTCAGAACCAATTTGGAAAGTATACAATTAACTAAAAATTTTTATTTGGAAAAATATCCACAGCAAATTAGACATGTGAGGAATACCTTGCTTTGGGTTACACATTATCTGAGTGGATAGGCTCATAGGCTGTGTTTAATGATGTAGCCTTACTATACTTACAGTAATTTATCTTATTTTATTTACAGTGGGTTTTTTTTTTTAAAGATTTTATTTACTTATTTGAGAGAGAGAGAACGAGCAGGGGGAGGGACAGAGGGAGAAGCAGGCTTCCCACAGAGCAGGGAGCCCAACGCGGTACTGGATCCCAGGACCCCGGGATCACGACCCGAGCGAAAGGCAGCCGCTTAACCGACTGAGCCACCAGGCACCCCTTTCCTGGCAGTGGTTTAACTGGCCGCTGCTTTCTTACTCTTTCTGCCTTTCTCCCCCCACCCCCGCCCTTCTCTCTTCTCTCTCTCACAAGCTACAGACACACACACACACACACACACACACACACATTTACTGAGTGACTCTGCACATCAATGATACAACAAAAGTACATGTCTGCGTTTTGATGAGTAATGAGTAATCTCTCTGTATGGAATGAAGAAAAGCTGATTACGTCTCTGATTTTTATATTTTCATTTTCATCTCAAATACTTTATTTTGTTATTCTTTGTGGGTACTCTGGTCATTTCCTCAAATCACGCAGAAACAGCATTTTCCTCATCACGACTGAGCTGTGTAGCATTGAAGAAGGACCATTTGGCCGAAGCAGAACCATCAGTGACTAGCACGGCGGCCAACGGCAGCCTGGAGGCAGTCATGCTTTGGGGGGTTTTCAGGCTTTGGCGAAAAGCAGCAAGCATAAGCGGGAAATTAAGAATAGTAGCTCCTCATGCTAATAATTTATTAGCAGTGTTGTGAGTTCTGACAGGAGAACCCATTTCCCTCTCGTTTAGCCTCTGTCCTCCATGCCTGAGAGCTCTGAGGTAATGAAAAGACAGAAATACTACAGCAGTGACAGCAGTTACGACAGCAGCCGCAGCGCTTCAGAATCGGAGGACAACGAGAACGAAGAGTACCAAAATAAGAACAGAGAAAAGCAAGTTACGTATAACCTTAAACAGTCCAACAACTACAAATTAATTCAACAATCCAGTAAGTTAATTTCTTCTAATTTCGTTGTTATGTGAAGAATTATGGAACGGAAATTACTGAGCTCAATAAAAGACCTTGGGCCACAAGAACCCTTGTTGTGTGTGAGGGGACCTGGACTCCATCCCACTTCCTTCCCTCACCTGACCTGGGCACACCGCACAGTCCCTTCCAGGGGCTGCAAATGGAAAACAAACAGGCTGAATGAAGGAACTCTGCGAGTCCTTTCTTCTCTCTTTCATAGTTTTTGTGAAGTCCTGGATTGTTGCATGGATTTTGTGAAATGGGCCTCATGGCTGCTGATCTGCGGGCTGCATTCTCTTTTAAGACAGTTATGTTCCCTCGTTTCATTTCCCCCCACTTTGCCTCCCTTTTGGTCACCAGTTTTATTTTATATGCTCACCTCTTCTTAAAAAATGTGTGTATCTCTCCAGGCATTTGACTTGAACCTCTCTGTGAGCCACGCAATTGTGAAATAGTTGAAGTTTTGTTCCCTCCTGTTTTCATCAGGGCTAAGCACTTAAGTGAGGACTTTTGGGATACCTACAGCAAGTATTCCGGACAGTAACCAACCAGCTGCTCTGTTGGCTTCCTTTCCGCCTTCTTCTTTTCTCTTTCTTCCTTTCTTTTCACATTTTCTCTCTCCTCCCTTCTGTCATTCATTCCTTTTTGATTTCACATATGTCCACAATTCTTTCATCTCCCGAAGTCCAGTGTGGCATTGCTGTTTTCTCAGGCTCATTTGGATCCCTCTTTCCCCATGCTGCCTCCAAGGCAGGGCTTTTCTTAACCCCTATCTCTCTTGTCTCTGCCTCGTCCTCCATTGTCCCAGGGCTCCATGAGAAGGACCAGTTCAGTCACGCAGTAAACACAACTGTGATCCTTCATTGATTTCCAGCAATGGTTTACTTAATATGTTAGTTCTCTGGTAATGAGAGTGCTTTAAACCTGGCCTTCCATACTTATGGCAAAATGCCACGAGGAATGCAGCACAAACAGATGAAGATCTTTAATTATCTCTTACCAAATTATCATGAAGACTTTTAATATTCTTTCTTTTCCTTTACTTTCTTTTACTGAATTGTTTTTATAAAGATACATGCTAATGTTCCTGTCTTTGAGAGTTCATGTGTTTGGAGGGGAAATAATGTATTATATTGCATTTCATTTATTTATTTACTCATTTAAGATGTCTATTGTGAGCACCTGTTCTAGAGTTTGCTAGCTATTTTATCAGTTACTTCCTTTTTTCCTTAAAGATGCCTTAAGTACTTTCAGTGTGTCTCTGAATGTATGACTCTGTTTCTCTTTTGGAAGCTGACGTTGTCTTGTCCAGATCTCATTGGTTGTTTATCTCCTTGTGTAAGGTGTGCATCCCTAAGAGCGCAAGCCAACAGAGGATGAGGGTAGGGTTGCGAAAATGTTGCCAAGATTTCTATAGCTCTGCAGTTGTTCTTTGTTCTCAGACCCAAAATAAATTGAGATCAGAAAAATAGTGCACTAAAAATGTTTTTAAGTGTGAATTCACATTTTAAAGCTAACTTAGCTCAGTTATATATCTTCTTCCTTATTAGTTATATTTTATTTTTATAGTCATTAGGAATTACCACAAAGGTTTCCATTTGTTTTATACTCTCTCTTTAATATTACACTAAGGAATACCATAGCCACAAAACCTCCTTGAGCTTTCTCTCCGAAGTGATGCTAATGATGGGACAAAATCCAGATTATGTGTAACATTTTCTGGTGTAGAGAGCTAACTTAGGAAATTTACACTTGCTATAGTTTCAGAGATATATTTTGGGTTGATATAAGGTGTTCATATATAAAACTATATGAAAGATTTTTCTCAAATAACTTGTATATGCAAGTTACAACCATTTTTTGCTCATCTACCTAAATATTATTGGCGTGTCTAGTGATTTAATTATTCTGTCTGAATTTCCAGTGTATGCAGGGGAAAAGTGGGAATCTGTGCTGATTCAAGAGAAAGGATATTTTCCTTCTGCACCTGTGATCAGGTTATACATGTCCAAACTATCACCTTATGCCCTTGAAGAGAGCAGAAACAAGGTGTAGGTAGTAGCACATGCTTTTGTGTTTTCCTAGGAGCAGATTGACTAGTGATATGTTCCTCACACAGCTCTTCTCTAGAAGCATAGTCCTTTAAAAAAATTGGATGTGACTTTTAGGTTCAGAAGAAGGTTAATAATTGGAACAAGTGGAAATTTTTTTTTAAACATCTTTTACAGCTTTAATGAGTATATTTTTTATACTCACCAGAACCAAATGGTATTAGGCTCAAAATATCCTATAGAAATACATCCCTAAATATAAGGTTTATGTCCATTGCCTTTAAAAGGCTTAAATTTTTTTCAACGGCTAATGAAGAGAAATATTTGGGTATTCAACCTGCCTTCATGTGAGCTTTATTATATTATTTAATTAATGAAGATTGATGTATTCCCCGAGGAGAGAGAGAATATAGAACAGAGGGTATTTACAAAATGAACTAAAAAGGATATAACTGTTGATGATATTGAGTGATATTCTATTTCCCTGTGCCAGGAATCAAAATTTACCTGGAACAGTTGGTTCTCTTTTTTAAATGGTCTCAATATTCATTGGGGGAAGATATTCTTTGGTTTTCCCTCGTTTGTTCTGATAACAACCCTCTAGACCTAGAAATTTTTTTCTTGACTTAAATCTTCTACTATGGGAATTTAAATCTAGGTTTTCTTTTCATTCTTTTCTCCTGTGAATAAGAAGACTACCTGTCTACTACTACTCTTGTAATACCAATTATATATTTAAACTCTATTAGGATAATCTTTATGTCTTTCTTCTGTTTTACTGGTTTTGTTTTGTTTTGTTTTTTCTTATGTGCCCTAAATTCTATAACATCCATTTATTCTGGCCACTCTCTAGACTCCTTTCCATCCCTCCCTATGAATCTTGCTATAAAATATTCTATTTTTAACCTATACACAGATTCTAATAAATGACCAGTCTAATGCAAAGATAGTAGGTGGCATCATGCTATAGAAAGAAAGGGAGGATACTGACATTATATAGGTCAGGACTTAAACCTGAGGTTGGCCATTTTCTCGTCATGTGATCTTGAGAAAGTTCTTCTTCTGAACCTCCAGACAATGCAGATTCCTACTTCAGAGGGTTTCTGTGAGGATTAAGATGAAAGCGTAGCACCTAGCAAGATGCCTGACTTACAGAAGGTGCTCCATAAATGTTAGTTTTCCTTTCTTCTGGTTCTTTCATGTCATGTTTCAAGAACAGAACTGTTTAAAAAATTGTTCTCATGGTAACCATTCTTAATACATGATAGGGGTTCTGCACCAAATTTACTGTTTAAATTGAAGAATTAACTTCAAACTCATATTCTCATGATGATGTCTATGCTTTCACATTTATTGCTGTTTTGCTACCATGTGGTCTAATTGTTAGTTTAAATCCGATACAGTGGGAAACTTACTAACTCTGCTACTGTACTGTCCCTCCTGTCCATTATCATAGGCTCCATTAGGCGCTCAGTCAGTTGCCCTCGGTCCATCTCTTCTCAGTCACCTTCTAGCGCGGACAGCCGCCCCTTTTCTGCGCAACAAGTGATACCAGCATCCCGGCCAACTTCAGGGTCCCGGTCACATTCTTTAAACCGTGCCTCCTCCTACATGAGGCATCTGCCTCACACTAATGATGCCAGCTCTCCTAACTCTCAGATGGTAAGTCACTGATTCTGCTCCTCTGAGATTACAGGAAGCACAATACTCAGGATTTAGATGGCAAAGGGATTGTCTGGGAGGGGGACAGATTGAACCCCAGATCCTTTCTGTAACTCAGCTCATGGTCTTCTGGAATTTGGATTATTCATCTATCTTAACCTGTAACTTAAAAAGCAGACTCCTCTATATCATAGAACTTGAGGATGGACACTGAGAATAGCATTTTATTTTCCATTTGCTGATGGTGTAGGATAATTTTGTTGAATTTCATCTGAGTAGGTATATCATTTTGCAGTGTATTGTGCAGTACAGCTGTAAATTTGGGGGAATTTGTTGGACAGTAAATTTTCCTTAATGGGACTCTTGATTAATAGGTTAAAAAAACAAACCATTGATAAATTATCCTTAGAGCACTGAAGTATTAACATTGTTGATAATGTTTTCTTTATATTTAAATTAACATATCTCATTCTCTCCTTAGCATGAATCCCAGAGATTCGTGTTGAAGAAGTCAGCGAGTTTATTTTGCAACTAGGCTTACTTGTAGATGCTCAAATAGATATCTCCTTGTACCTTCACATAGGCCAGGGATTTATTTAATTTGTTTATTTAATGTGAGTGATGTTCCCAAATAGAAGAGTTTAGAAAATATAAATGAATGAATGAATTTCACTTGGTATCAATCAATAATTATTTTTTCTAATCAAGAATTGCCTAGGGTATATGTAACAAATGAACTGACCAGGAAGTCTTTTTTTAAACACTTATATTTTTATTTTAGTATTTTGAGCTAAATAAACTGTAACTGTGTGGAAGTGTGAAAGACACTCTTGGGAAATTGTATCCAGTTAACCCTAAGAATAAATGTAAAAGAAATTATTTTCTTTTTCATTGTTTTTTTTTTTAAATTAAAAGTGCATCATTTTTACCTAGAAATATCTTTCAGATTATAGTGGCACAATGAAATAAGACCCCCTCCAAATATCTGTATTCTTTCAAATTTAAGAGTGAGTCTTTGCGGCAACTGAGAACAAAGGAACAAGAAGATGATCTAACAAGTCAGACCTTATTTGTCCTCAAGGACATGAAGATCCGGTTTCCAGGAAAATCAGATGCAGAATCATTACTTCTGATAGAAGATGTGAGTATCTGACGTATATGAAATTTCAAGGAGCTTGCAACTTTTTATTATTCTTCTTAAAATATTAAAATTTATTTCCTGATGGCATTATTCTCAATGACATGGTAAACTTAACTGGTGTTCTTTTCAACCTCCACAAGCTTTAGAAAATACAGGGCTTATATTAATTATTATGATTCATGAGCAGTGAGATCACGTAATCAGTAATGCAAAGTATCTTTTAGTATCTAGTCTTATTTTAATGATGCAATTGCTTCATCAAGTAAGAATAATTACTGTTAAATAATTACTGTTTTTAATGATGAAAGAAATATCAAAGTTAAGCTTCCTTCTGTAAAGATTTAGAAGGATCTAACATGGGATGAGTTGTAATGAAAAAAAATAGGGCCCTGGGTATGAAATGTCAAGAATATTTGAATGTGATACCTTGAATGGTTTTTGTCAAATTGTGAAATGGCTTATGTCGGGTGTGTTTTTCTTCTTATAAACACATTTGCACCACCCAGTGGAACATTCTAAAATGACACAGTCCTGAAAATTCACATTAAAGTCAATGACTTACTCCTATTTTAGAAAGAAGTTCCAAGTTATTCAGATATTTCTGGTGAAAGAGCATTCCTTCAGAGATTGATTTCATTTAAACATCTGTTTCAAATTGACATTCCTAGGTAATCCCTCAGTAACAGAAGATTGTTTTCTGGTTTCCCTGTTTTGTTTAGTTTTGTTTGGGGTTTTGGTTTTTGGTTTTGGGTTGTGGGTTTTTTTTTTGGTTTGTTTTGGTTTGTTTTTGTTGTTGCTGTTGTTGTTCCAGAGGAGAAGGCACCATCTAGTGGCCAGTAGTAGGATAAGAACCAGAACGATGCACTTGGCATTTTTCACATTTTATCATTACTTTAGACCTGTCTGAAGCAACGGTCTTTCTGAAACAAAACAAACAAACCAAAAAGCCCTACAACAAATAATAACAAAAATTTAACTTTCTTAATTTAAAAAATTAATAGTGGCAATTTCTATTTTGTAATCATGCCATAGTTATGAGCAAAATCCCCAAATATTATACATTATTTTGTTATATGAATATTTTAAAAAGTGAAAATGGTATCTTACTTACAAACGAGCTGATATTTGTTACATCAAGGAAAAAGGAGGAAAAATTAACATTAGTTGTAAAGCATTATGTAGATGTGTTTTTATTTACATGCTATTTTATTCAATCAAGTTCTTTTCTAGGTAAAGACAAAAATTTTGTACCATTTTACATATATTTCTTAGAGATATTAGTTATAGACCAACCTTTTGAATCAGGTAGAAGAAAAATCAGATAATCAGAAAGTAGAACTAATATTTGTGGCTGATGTGATTGTTTTATAAAGAATTGGCTTATATAATTAGTAAAATATAATGGGTAATTATATAAGACATTAGGTTGTTTACTATATGTTTACTATATGCAGCAAATATTTTAATTTGTTTGCTACAGTATATATTACTAGAATATATATTTGGAAATTTTGCAGATTTGTAACAATAAAAACCCAATAAAAACAAAACAAAGGCATAATAGAATCCTGATTACATATAGGCTATCTTCTAATGTATTGTTCAATATTCTGTTATTATATAGGGTGATGTGTTAAATATAGCTCTTAGAATTAAAATGGAAAATCTGTGTTTTGGGCTACTTCCCAAATCCTATGTACCTGAAGACATTTGACTTCCATTTATTAGAGACTGTGTGCTTTTTATATCAAGAAGAGAAAACTTTGGATTCTGATGGCTTCTTTAACTTAGAAATCTTTGCACACGTCTTTATGAAAGTAGACATTCTTTATTGCAAGTGATATTACAGTGCTTCTGTTTCACAAATAAATAAAATTGGTTTCAACCCATTCATTTGCTCTTTGTTACTTTTGAGGAAAATTTTAGATTAAATTTCTTAATGTTTCTTCCCCAAAACAGATCATTGATAACTGGAAGTATCATAAAACAAAAGTGGCTTCATATTGGCTCATAAAATTGGACTCTGTAAAACAACGGAAAGTGAGTAATGCCAAAAAATAGGTTTGCCCTTTGGGGTTATGTATTAAGATCATTAAACCATATTCATAATCAAACCATGTTCATGTTTATTTGTTTACTCATTTCTTTACCAAATATTTATTACACAGCTACTATGTTTCAGGTACTGTTCTAGGTTCTGAGATTAAAAAAATGAATTTAAGAAAATTCATTTAAGCCCCGTCGTCTCATAGAGCTTATATTTTAGTTAAGGTGTTTGATAATAAACAATATGTACTAGAATGTAGGGTAGTTTTAAGTACCAGGAAGAAAAATAAATGAGGGTGAAAAATAGAAGGTAACCGTAGAGCAGAGACCTAAAGGGAATAGTGCTGTGCAGATCCCTGCAAGTACGATGTATCAGGAGGAGGGGAGAGCAGTTACTGAGGCCCTGAGTCACAAGTCAGCTTGATTGCGTGCACGAGGCACAGAAGGCATCATTTCATTCCCTCATGTATGGGATAGTTGGCCTTTGGCGTTCAAGAATGAAGTGGTGGTGAACACTGAAGTGGGATACATGGGCAGGGGTCAGATCACAGCTTCAGAGGCTGTATAAACACCATGGGTTTTATTCCAAGTGATGGGAAGTTGCTGGAAAATTTTGAGCAGAAGAGTTATGTAGTCTGGTTTACAATTTAAAAGAATCACAAGAGCTTAGAGAATAGAACTGGAGGAGAGGGAATGTAGCAGAATACAAGTAGAGACCAACTAGGAGGTTTTTGGAGTGATGGAGGCAAGAGCTAATGGTTGCTTAGCTAGGGTGGTAACTGAATGGGCAGATGCTGGGGAAGAGCAAGGGTTTCCAGCTATTATTACTGTTGTTTCATTTTACTTTGATTTTGGTTTTGGACTTATTAAGCCTGATATATTGATTAGACATCCAATTGAAGGTATTGAGTATGTAGTTGTATATGTGAGTTTTTGAGTTCAGAGCTAAGGTTGTGTATGGAGATATAAAATTGAAGAGTCAACTAGGATATTTAAACCGGTGGGACTGGATGATTACCTCGAGAGTGAGTGTGGTCAGAAAATAGAAGAGCTTTAAGAACTGAGACCTGCATCACTTCTACATGTAGAAACCAGAGATGGGTGTGTGTGTGTGTGTGTGTGTGTGTTGGGGGGAAGGCAGATAATTTAAGGGGACTGAGAAGGAGCAGCCAGTGAGGCATGAAAAACCATGAGAACTGGGTGTCTCTGAAGCCAAGTTAGGAAATTATTTTAAGGACACAGTGATCAGTGGAGTCGGATGTGGCTGCTAGGGGCTGTACGATGAGCAGGAAGACCTGACTGCTGTTTTTGGCAATGTGGAAGTTAGTAGTTACCTAATCATAACAATTCTGGGGAATGGTAGGGAGTAAAACTTGAGTGGAGTTGGTTCCAAGGGATGAAAAGCACAGCTAGCGCAGGCACCTTTTCAAGGAGTTTTGCTGTAGAGAGGAAAGGGAAAATATGGTAGCTGGAGAGCGACGTGGGTTAATGACAAGGTTTTGTTTGTTTTGGTTTGTTTTTAAGATGAAGATATTTGCAGTTGTTTGTGTGCTGATGAAAATGATCTAGAAGACAGGAATGGCACAGGAAAGAGAGGTGATAGAAAATCCTTGTGTAAGTAAGCTGGGATGGTTTGTCCTAACCGGGAGCATTTGTTCTCATAGGAGGGAAGGCAGAGTCTGGCCTCATGGAGGGAAGATGTAAAGGTTTTCTTCTGATGGGGAGGGGCTTTTAGGGATTGAAGGAGACAGTAAAAGGTATGTAATAGTCATCTTGGACAGGAGAGGGGAGTGGCCAGCAGCCTGAGCAGCCCATCAACTGCATTGCAACATCATTTTGGAGGAGGTATACTATTTTAGTAGCTTTAATGAAGTTGTATTCCTTCAGGAATGCAAGCTATCATTTCCTCTTCTAAGATTTATTGCTAATAAGCTGAAAGTTGACACTGATCAAATGATGACTTTTAAATTATATACTTTTATCTGAGTGAAGTGAACTTACAATTTTGCATTAACACATTCAACAAATAATTGCTTGGTGTTCTGCCACGTGCCAAACACCAGGCTGCCATCGAGGAGGGTATAGCAAAGCTGGTACAGAGGTAGACTGAAAACATACTATAAGTCCTGAATACATGTTTGCCAAGTCACTGAATGTGGCCTTGATTGATTAAAATAAGGACTTCTTATTAGAATTGGAACCCCAAATTTCCTCAAGTCCATGTACTCTTTGTAATCTAGAAGGTGAAAGACTGTAGGTGAGTTGCTCATTAAAATAAAATATCCAGAAGCAGATTACAGTGTTTATAAGACATTAATACATGATAAATGTGACATTTTAAAGCAGTGGAGAAATGATAATTTTCCCCCTAAATGATACTAAAGCAATTGGCTATCTATTTGTAAGAAAATTAAGTTGGAGCTTTATCTCTCACTATATGCAAAAATAAATTCCAGGTGGATTAGAGCTTTATATGTAAAAAGAGAAAACATTAAAAGTTTAAAAGGAAAGGATACGTTTGTAATCTTAGAATGGGGGAAACCACTTCTTAAGAAAGACTTCAAACCCAGAAGACTTAAAGAAAATATTGGCAGATTTGATTACATGAAAACTTTAAAACAAATTAAAAAGCAGCAGCTGTGAGGAGAATGGGGGAGGGGCATTGAGGAAGATAGATATTTGCAGCACATAAAGTACAAAGTAACACCAATAAACCAAAACCTCCTACAAATCAACCAGCAAAAGACAAACTATCCTATAAATATTAATAAATGAAATGGCAAAGTACATAAAAGGGCCATGAAAAGACAATTTATGGATCTTCAGATAGCCAATTAACATGTAAATAGATCCTGGCCTCACTAATGATGAAGGAAAAGCAAGTGAAAACCTTCATATTGGCAAAAATTAATAAGACAGAGGGGGCGGAGCAAGATGGCGGAGGAGTAGGAGACCTGGATTTTGTCTGGTCTCAGGAATTCATCTGGATGGGGATCAAACCATTCTGAACACCTACGAACTCAACAGATCGAAGAAAGGAATAACAGTAACTCTCTGAACAGAAAAGCGACCACTTTCTGGAAGGTAGGACGTGCGGAGAAGTGAATCCGAGGTGATATTCGGGAGGATAGACGGCGGGGGAGGGGGCCTCCGTCAGCCACTTCTGGCAAGTGATAGAGCCGCGGAGCACAAAATTGGAACTTTTAGAAGTCGGCTCCACTGAGGGACGTCGCTCCAGTGACTAAGCAGGG